ACCCTGATACTTGTGCTATCAAATGCAGGAGTGTCAGCTTTGGCAGCATACATACCAAAAGAAATCTTTGTGTCAAACAGGACACAAGGGAAGCTGATGTGCAATTTCAAGACTGCTAACACCAGCATCGGGTCGATATTTATCTCCTGAAGTTTCCAGCCCAAGGGGGCCTAAACTACTGTGTTGTTTTTCTGCTACTCCCAAGGTGAAGTGTACCTTGGGAACTATCCACCATTTAAGGGCTGGAGACCTCCATAAGAAAAGTGCGTCAATCTACATAGAAAATATACAGTTTATACACAATGGCACCTATACCTGTGATGTCAAGAACACTCCCTTTGGTTGGCACATTAGGCTTTATGGTTGAAAAAGACAGTCTGTCCTTTTTCCAGTCTGGGTTGTGGTGGGTATAGTTACTGCTGTGGTCATAAGTCTAACTCTGCTGGTCAGCATGATCCTGGAAGTTCTCTATAGAAGGAAAAACTCCTAACTAGGATTACACTGGCTGCCGAAGATTGAGGGAAAAGGAACATTTTTACAGTATTTTGGGGGCTGTAAATTAGTACAACCACTATGGAAATCAATATGAAGGTTCCTCAAAAGACTAGGAATAGAACCACCATATATTCCAGCTATACCATGACTTTAGTATAACCAGAGTTACCCTAAAGAATCAAAGTCATTATACTATAGTGATTCATGCATACCCATGTTTATATAAGCAGAATTCACAATAGCCAAATTATGGACCCAGCCTAGGTGTCTGTTGATGGATACACGTGGATAAAGAAAATGTATATATACACAATGGAATTTTATTCAGCCATAAAGAAGAATGAAATTGTGTCACTGAAGAAAAATGGTTGGAACTTGATAGTATTATGTTAAATAAGACTCAGAAAGTCAAGGGTCATAAGTTTTTTTCTCATACATAAAGGTAGAGAGAAAAAAGGAAAGAAAAATGTTGGAAGGGGATCTCTTGAAAATAAAAAGAAAATTACTAGAAAAGAGGAAGGAAAACAGAAGGAGGCAGTAGAGGAGGGAAGGAGGGTTCTAGGGAATGATATTAACCAAATTATATTATTATATTGTGTGCATGTACACATATGTACCAACAAATTCCACTATTATGTACAACATAATGAACTAATTAAAATAAATAATAAAGTAAATAAAAACCCCTACAAATTTGTAGGTTATTGCCAGCATGCATTTCATTGCCTTCAATTCCCTACCTCACAAAGGTACTAAGTTTCCAATCTTCATTAGAGACACACACACACTCCACAGTGCATTTCTCATGAATCTGTCATATTGCAGCTAAACTTCTTGGATTCCATATTTTTTCTTCCTTTATTTTATCAGCGAGGACTGTTCTAGTTTTACATAATGTGAATTCAACCTGAATGGTTTAAAAACAAAACAGAAATATGTATAAAGAATTTACTGCAGTGTGCAGTGGCACACACCTGTAATCCCAGCGGCTCAAGAGGTTGAGGCAGGAAGACTGTGGGTTTAAAGCCAGCCTCAGCAAAAATGAGGCACTATGCAATTCAGTGAGACTCTGTCTCTAAATAAAATACAAAATAGGGCTGGGGATATGGCTCAGTGGTCGAGTGCCCCTGAATTTAATGCCCAGTACAAAAAAAAATTTACTGGCTTGCTAAAAAGTCAAGAAAAACAGGTTCAGGAAGGGCTAGATCTAGGACTCAAAAAAACCAAAAACCAAAAACCAAAACCAAACCAAACCTAACAAAAAACACCTTCCCGAATTCAGTTTCTCTCTAGCTGTGGTTTCCTGCACAATAGATGATATTTTCAACCAGGTGCTCCCCTTTTAATGTAAAGGTGATTAGATGAAGCTGTATAGATAATGACCACCACAGAAAATAAGGTTCTTTTTTCCCACTGGTTCCCATAAAACCTCATGATTGCAGCCAGGTGTGTATGTTCCACAGCTGAATACATTAGAGTAGCCAGGATAATACAATATAGTAATTGAATAGGTATATATAACATGTGAGATGACCATCCTGGTTTTCTTGGGACTGTCTTGGTTTTGCCTGTGAAGTCCTGTTTCACAGTAAACCTCTCAGTCCCAGGTAAATCAAGATGGTTGTTTACCCCAGCTTACACGTGTACCAAAAGGACGGGGTTGTTTCCAAACTTCAGCAGGTGAGAATGGTTGTAACAGCAGGGAATGAAAGCTAAACAGGTGGAAAACATCAACATGTACATGTAAACTAGAGAAGTATGCTGATCAACACGATGGCCACATGTGCCTGCTGACCACTTGAGACTGTAGTAATCTATAGTTTAGTTTGAATGTAGCTCTGAATTAAAATATGCAGTAAATGCAAAAAATACAATGGATTTCAAAAACTGTGAATGAAAAAAATGTAAAGCATCTTAATAATTGTTTTTATATTGAAATGATCATGTTTAAGATATATTGAGCTAAATATTAAAATTAAAACTTTATTTTTAACTGATACAAAAACATAATTGTATGTTTTTATGGGGTACTACTGTGATTTTTTTTGATACATGTATACATTGTAATGTTCAAACATCTATCTCCTTGAACATCCATCATTTCTTTATACTGAAAGCATTCAAACTTTTAGCTTTTTGAAATACATAGTACATTATCATTATCCATAGTCATCCTACAGGGCAGTATCAGAACTACTTACTCCTATCTAACTATGAGCAAACTCAAATCTCTTTTTAAAAATTTTTTTATTTCTATGTGGTGCTGAGGATGCCAGGCAAACGCTCTACCACTGAGCCACAATCTCAGCCCACAAATCTCTTTTCTTTTCTCTACTTTCCAAGATCTGGTAACCACAATTCTACTCTTAACTTCTGAGATCGATTTTTTTTTTTTTTATATTCCACATGAGTGAGATCATATGGTACTTGTTTTTCTGGGTCTGGTTTATTTTACTTAACATAACGATCTCCATGTTGTTATGAACAACAAGATTTTGTTCTTTAAGGCTGAAAAGTATTCTGCGGTGTACATGTACCTTATTTCCTTTATCTATTTAGTTGATGGATACTTGTTTCCACTTCTTGGCAAAAACAAAAACAAGCAAAGAAAATAAACTAACAAAAAACAACCAACAAAATCCTACTTGAAAAAAATCATTACCCGAATAACTTCAATTTCCTTTATTCTACGCTATTGTTTGTAACTGGAAATCTATACAACCAGGAAATGGAAATTCAGTGTATCACTGGCAGAGCTCGCACATTCATAATTACCTAAAGAGCAACAATGAGTAGCTCATTACAAAATCCCAATGACGAGTTGTCAAAATGAAGTCTTAGAAGTAAACATCCAAAATATTTTAATTAATATGCATAACTAGCAACACATATTATCATATTAAACACATAAAATCATTCCAGTTTGAATAAGTTAAAGTTGCTAACATCTTCCTTTGTTGTGCTGGGAAAAGGCCAAATTTGGGGATTCTGTGAATCTTGGCTCTGGTGCTTATTAAATCCTAGTGCCTTGGGCAGTTTCGCTAGTAAAAGCCTCCATTTCCTCATTCGTAAATACCCTACAGCATTTTCGGAGTGTCTGGAGATTGTCAAAACACTAGCCACTCACTAAACGGAAGTCTTTATTACGGTACTCTTTGGCCTTCATATATGATCTCAATGTTAATAAGCACCAAGGGCAAGAAACTAAACCCGTCTCCCGACCACGTCCAGTCAAATTAGGATACCTCTCCAACAAGCCACTTAGTTCTTTTTGCTAGAAGCGGATGTGGCTCCGCGAAGGATCACAAAGCGCGACCCAGCCGTGAGGAGGGATTTCCGCCAAACGCCGGGAGGGTAGGCCATACCCAGAAGCCCACCGGAACAGGCGGGAGGAACGCCGGCGCCCGGAAGCGCCGCGGAGGAAGGACTACATTTCCCATAAGTCGGCAGGGCAGGGCGAGGGGTGGGCGTCGGGGACATTACCGGACAGGCCTTGCCGGCAGTACTAAGGTAAATGCCGGCACCGCGGCTCGAAGAGAAAAGTCACTTAGGATCCGCGACTAGATTTGTGCTAGTAACCCCTCTAACCCATCCTGAACCGACAGAAACGATGCTCCCAGTGGGGCGACTTTGAGATTTCCGAGTCGCACCCCTCCGCTCCGGCAACCCTAGACAACACACCCCTACGGGTCTGGGGGCGCTTTCCCAATGCACAAGGAAGCGGGGGAGCTGTGCTTGCTCGAGGAAGGCCCAGGGTATCCCTTTGTAGGTTTGACGGTTCGTGTAGGGTCCTCTAACGCCCCTCCCCCACGCCCAATCCCCTTTTAAGTCAGGCTGGAGAAGGGATGTGCTGGGCTTCCTGGGGCTCAAAGAAAGGGGTCGCGTAGGGGAAGGTGCCCCCCTTCCGACCCAGTCGAGTAGCGGATGACCTCCTTTGATTGCTTCTCGGACATCCTTGGCCGGGGCGGTGAAAGCTGTCATAACTTGGGGGCCAAGCATCTCCATCCAGAGTCCCCATCCTGTACCTTTTGGAGTGGTATCTCGGTGCCGTTGGTGAGGCTAAGAGACTTGCGCTAGGTCACAGAATCCAAGTGGCAGAATGAAAGATTCGCACCGAGCCTGTCTGGATCTAAAGCTCTTTGCTTCTGACCCATTACCTTCTTCAAGCCCTATCCTAAGAGAAGGCAGGAGCTGGGGACTGCACAATCTTTCGCGTTTGTGCAGTTTGGTTTTCTTTTTCTTTTCTTGTTTTTGTCCGGAGAGACCCACGCGCGCCCTTAGGGCCCAGGGGCAGAACCCAATCCCGTGATCCCAGAGTATAGCGACCTCGTTTCCCACCCTCCTGAACAAAACCGAGCACAGAGTCTTCCCCCGACCAATCCGGGTCGGTGGTCCCTTGGACAGCAGTCTCTCCTTTTGCCTCTCCCAGGTCCTTTTCTGGGGACGCACAGGCGGCGAGCGTCAGCGCCACGGGGCGGGTGGGAGGGGTTTGCTGCGCAGCGGCGGCGGCAGCTGGTGGGTCCTGCGGTGACTCCGGGGCGGGGCTGTGGGCAGGGTGCCGATTGAAAGACCGACTCCGCGGGAATGGGGGGTGTGGTTGTTCGGCCAGCGTCCTTCGAGTGGGAGAGTGGCTCCGCGACCACCGGTGGCCGGACCCCCTCTGCCTTCTGCTAGAGATGCTTTTCCTCTCGGTGAGTTAATTTTCTGTCGTCGCGGGCAGGGTTCTGGTTCTTAGTCACGCCCCGGGGAGGAGGAAGGAGCAAGGCCACCTCGAAGTGTGTGTGGCCTGGATAGAGCAGGTCAAAGGGGGAACTGACCAGCTGCGCTCCTAGGCCTCCTCCCTTTGGGGCATGTTGATCCGCGGCTGCGCTGCATGTTCCAGTTTCATGCAGGCTCCTGGGAAAGCTGGTGCTGCTGCTGCTGCCTGATTCCTGCAGACCGATCTTGGGACCGGGGCCCGCGCTGGCGGCTGGAGATGGCGGACACTAGATCGGTCCATGAAACCAGGTTTGAGGCGGCCGTGAAGGTGATCCAGAGTTTGCCGAAAAATGGTACGTGCACTGGGCCTCGCTGGAAAAGCCTTCCGAAGAGGCCCCAGGTCTCTAAACCTCACCTTCTTTAACCTTCTTTCTGGTTCAAGCCTGGCTTATTTAGCCTACTTTTTTCCTGTGTTGTAAAGGCATGTAATTGGTAGGGGAGGTATTGAATGTGAATTAACGACCTGCTGATCTTTGAAGCCACAGACAAATGTTATCCACGTTTTAAGTTCTTTAGATTGTTAAAAACGAAAGTCTTCTCATTTAATGACTGCAAATTTGTTAAAAAAAAATTCTGGGATGGGATACCTGGTACCCTATACTTGAAAATCTACAATTCAAACCTTTTGAAAACTTTTGCTATGAAGTAAGGGAAAGGAAGTCAAGTAAAGGAAAGGAAAAAATAGCAATATTCATTTGTAAAACGATTTATTTTTATTTTAATAAATATAGTACCTTTTTTTTGCTGCTATTCCGTTGTATTAGCGTTTTGTTTTGTTTAACATATACTTATATTGGACCTTCTTTGCAGCTTGTGGGGAAAGATCTATTGTTCTCTTTCTTTTAGTATGTCATTTCTTTGTTTTATCTTTGGTTTTCAGTAATTTGACTATGATGTGTTTAGATGTGTTTTTTCTTCTTATTTATCCTGTTTACAGTTTGTAAACTGTAAATTGTAATTTTATTTTTGGGCAGTGTTGGAAAGTTTTCAGCCATTATTTAATTTTTTTCCCCCCTTTTCTAAGTAGAGTGGCATGGGGAGGGAGACTTTCACTTTGCAATTCATGTCCTTTGCATCATAAGGATTATTTTAAATCATAAACTAATTTTAAAAAATGCTTTTAAGCACTATTACTGTACCAGAGTGGGAAACCTGACTATATAAATATATTACTAGAGTATTTAATATCATCTTCTTGGTTTTCATTAATCATATTTGGCTAAGTAATGAATCTTCAATACAGTTCACTCTAAAATTCGATAAGTGTAGATTCAGAAAGTTTTGTAGAGCTAGTACTTAGGCTGAATGATGCCCTGGGTTCAATCCCAGTGACACCCTTGGAAAAAAGAAAAAAGAAAGTTATGAAAACAAATGTACAGAAAAAATAATGTTCCCTTTTGTAATCCCCCCTCCCGCCCCCACTAGTATTGAACTTAGGGAGGCTCTGAGGTATATCCCCATCCCTTTAAAATTTTTTTATTTTGCATTGAATTTGTGATTCTCTGCCTTAGTCTCCTGATTCTTTTATACTTTCAAACATTCCATTGAAGGAGGTCATAGAGAGGATTGAAAGTTAAGCTAGAAGAAACAAAATATATAGAAATAACATAGGAATTTATTTAAGTATTGATATTTTAATGTTAGGTTAAGGGTGTTTATAGAAAGGTATGATTCCAAGAGTTTTATATAAGTAGTACAAATTTTTTGAAAATTGAAAAAGCTAGACTTAATGTCTGCTGCCTACTTTTTTTTTTTTAACATTTTAGTCAACTTACTAAAAAAAACTCATGTAAATTAATTAAAAGAGTTTGTATTTACTTAACATTTTAGAAGGCATTACAAAGTTAAAATTAACAATAGTATTGGAGGTGTAGCTTAGTGACGAAGTTCAGACTTAGCATGCAGGATACCCTGAGTGTGATCCCCAGCATCTGTCCCCCCACTGGCTCCCCACAAAAATCATGTTATTTTTCTGAAACTGAACTAATATTCATTAAACCACAAGTTTGTTATAACGAATTATTAAATATTTTTATTTTAAATTAATTTTTTTCAGGAGGGAAAGTTTATTTTGGTTCACAGGAATTATTAAATATTTTTATAAAACACTGTTTTTTAAAATTGGTCTGCTCTGATCTATTTTACAAAAAACAAAATCTTATAGTTTTGTTTTTATTGCTTAATATTTAATAGTAAATTCTTTTTTTCTTTTGGTAGTGGGGATTGAGCCCAAGGGTGCTTAATCACTGAGCCATATTCCCAGCACTTTTTATTTTTTATTTTGAAATAGCGTCTCCCTAAGTTGCTTAGAGCCTCACTAAATTGCTGAGACTGGCCCTGAACTTGAGATTCTTCTGTCTCTACTTCCTGAGCTGCTGGGATCACAGGTGTGCATCACCACTCCTGGCTTTTTAAAAACAATTTTATTTTGAGACAGGGTTTAGCTATGTTGGTTAAGGCCTTAAGGCGCTAAGTGCAATAATGACCTTGATTTTTAGAAATGTAAATTCTTAGATAATATTTCAAATACATATATTAAGTATGTCATGTGAGTGCCTCAAAGACAAAAGATCAGATACATCATACTTTGTCTGCAATCTTACAGCGCACAATATGTTCAATAATTTTTTTGTTTGTTTGGGTTTTTTTTTTTTTTGGTACCAGGGATTGAACCCAGGGCACTTGAGCTAAGGATCTTGCTAAGTTGCTTAGGGCCTCACTAAATTGCTGAGATTCGCTTTGAATTTGCATCCCTCCTGCTTCAGCCTAACAAGTTTCTAGGATTATAGGAGAGTGCCATTGAATCTGGCAAGGTTTTTTTTTTTTTTTTTTTAATATAAAGTATGTGTCATTGAGCTAAGCCTATAAACCTTTAAATCTTAACTTTGTGGGCTGGAGATATAGCTCAGTTGATAGAATGCTTACCTCGAATGCACAAGGTCCTGGATTCAATCTCAAGCACCATACACACAAAATATCTTACTTTGTTGGCTTACTGAAGACATTAAGAGATGAGGTTTTTGAATTTTCAAATGTAGATTTGTGTTACTCATTGGTAACCATTTTAAACAATTTTTTCTGCATTTTTTCCTTTGTTGCATAAAAAACAACTATATCATTGAAACACTGTATCTAGTAGATACTCCCAAATGTGCCTGTATTATATAGATAATTATTATTGTGATTGGGGATTAATTATTCATTCTTTTTTTTTAAAAAAACATTTTTTATTTTTTTGGAAGTAGTTGGAAACAATACCTTTATTTTATTTACTTATTTTTATGTGGTGCTAAGGATTGAACCCAGGGCTTCACATGTGCTAGATAAGTGCTCCACCGCTGAGCCACAACCCCACCCCAATTATTCATTCTTGATTAGACCTGAAACACCAGTTCTCAGTTTGTCAGTGTTGTAATTTCCATTTTTATAAATGACTAGCTTTTGATTCATATGTTATCTGTTTAGTATGAAGTCATGAAGTTTTCAAAATACCTTCTTACAGTTTTTGTTTGTATAATAATTTTTGCTTTGAAAGTAATATGCACTAAGTTAAAAATTTAAACAAATGCCAGGTGTGGTGGCATTTGCCTGTAATTCCACCTATTTAAGAGGCTGAGGCAGGAGGATCTCAAGTTCAAGGACAGCCTGGGCAACTTAATGAGACCCTGTTTCAAAGTAAAAGAAAATTGACTGAGGATGTAGCTCAGAGATAGATTGCTTGCTAAGCATGTTTAGTCCCTAATACTGAAAAAAAAAAAAAAATTAACATAGGTAAGTAAAAAGGAAAATAAAATAATCTGTGTATCTACTATCCAGAGGTAGCTCCTTTTAACATTTTGATGTATAGCCTTTTGATGTACTTTTCATGTATGTAAATTCTTATTTTGTAAAAATAGATCACATTATATATGCTGTTTTTAACCTACAGTTTATAGAAGATCATGAAATTCATCAGGCCATTATTGGGGCTATCATTATAATATATTCTGTTACTTGTGTGTATCATAATTATCTAGCCAGTTATCTATTAACAAAAAAAACTAGCATTCCAATTCTTCATTTTAAGAGTATTGTAGCTGGGTGTGGTGGCACACACCTGTAATCCCATTTACTCTGGAGGCTAAAACAAGAGAATTACAAATTTGATTCCAGCCTTAGCAACTTAGTGAGACAGCATTTCAAAATAAAAAATAAGAAGCATGTATGAAGACACGATGGTGTAACTCTAGTTTGTGTACAACCCGAGAGATGAAAAATTATGCTCTATTTGTATAACATGAATTGTAATGCATTCTGCTGTTGTATATAAAAAATTAGAATAAATTTTAAAAAATAAGAAGGGCTGAGGATGCTGAGTTCAGTGGCAGAGAGCTCCTGAGATCAATTCACAGTGTGGGAAAAAAATTATATTCCAACTTATGGTACTTGAGTATACACTTTGAAAATTTCAAATATAAAAAAGGTTATGAATATTGATAGATATGCTAGAAGCATATATGAAGACATCTTCAAAAAACTGATATAACCAAAATTACAAAGGTAGAAATTGAGAAATATGTTTTATATTGCATTAGTTCTTTTTCCACTAAAGTACACACTGGTTGGCTTTGGCCAAAGTTCCTTATCCAGTGGGAAATTGAAATTTGGCCAAGAGGACTTGGATTTTTTACTGTTGATACTTTAGTAACCAAAGTATGTTTCTTACTTTTTTTCATTTATGCTAGTCAGCTTTGATTTTTCACAAGCTTTATTTTGCTTAATAACATTATTCTGTACTTCCATATTTAAATTATTTTTTATTTGTTGATGGACACAAAACCTTTAATTTATTTATTTTTATGTGATGCTGAGGATCGAACCCAGGGTCTTGCACGTGGTAGGCAAGCACTCTACCACTGAACTGCAACCCCAGCCCTATACTTCCATATATTTTATGTGATGTTTTCTGGTTATTTTTGGTTATTTTGGTTATACCCTTAGAGTTTTTATTCATTTTATTTATTTACTTACTTATTTATTACTGACTGACTGACTGACTCATTTATTTTTTGGTACAGATATTGAACCCAGAGATGCTTAAACATCTTGTTTTCTTGTCTTGCCCAAGATTTTCCTATTTGTGTAAGACTGATGAAGACACATCCCCGGCCCTTTTTAATTTTTATTTTGAGACAGTTTCACTAAGTTGCTTACGGCCTCGCTAAGTTGCTGAGGGTGGCTTTGAACTCAAAATCCTTCTGCCTCAGCCTCCCAAGCCTCTGAATCGTGTTTAGCATTGTTTAAGTTTAAAGTTTCAGAGTTTTTTTTTAATCAAAGGAGCAGATTAATTAATAAAACTGCCATAACTTTTGTTTCTAAGATAGAAAAAATTATCTGACTATTAAAATATCAGATCACTATTAGTACTGCATGGCTAAGCTAATATACAACCATAGGTTATCAGTGTTATTCCCCAAGTAATTTGTATTTAATGTATGTTTCCAATAGGTTCATTCCAGCCAACAAATGAAATGATGCTCAAGTTCTATAGCTTCTATAAACAGGCAACTGAAGGACCCTGTAAGCTTTCAAGACCTGGATTCTGGGATCCTATTGGAAGATATAAATGGTAATTTCATTTATAGAGCCAAGAAAGGATTTAAATTTTAATAATTATCACACAGCTATTACTTATGTGGTTATATACTATTCAGTGCATAAAATATCCTAGGTGTACTGCATACAGTTTTTTCCCTCTAGGTGCTCTTCAATACAGTCTTACTTACACAAATAGGAAAATCTTGGGCAAGACAAGAAAACAGTAAACCAAGAGGTTAGGTGCATCAAAAACAAAGGATTTTCAGTTCATCTTCTTATAGTTTTTCTTTTTTTAAATCTCAAAGCAACTCTTTTTTTTTTTTTTTTAAGAGAGAGGTGAGAGAGAGAGAGACAGAGAGAATTTTTAATATTTATTTTTTAGTTTTTGGCGGACACAACATCTTTGTTTGTATGTGGTGCTGAGGATTGAACCCGGGCCACACGCATGCCAGGCGAGCGAGCTACCGGCTTGAGTCACATCCCCAGCCCTCAAAGCAACTCATGAACTAAGTAGTTTTTCTTTTTTTAAATTTCAAAGCAACTCTTGAACTAAGTACAAGAGATAAACTTTCCTGCCTCTTTTAGCTGCCAAGAAAAGTAATGACTTTTGTTCATCAACTGATACTGTTTGCTTTGAGCCTTTCAGATAATATGTAACTAGAAATATGACTCAGGTACTGCCATGTTAACTTTTTATCTCCGCTATTACTTCTGAGCCACTGCATTTGAGTATAAATTTGATTTTTAATACCATTAAAGAATGATAAGTTATTGATGTTGTTATCATTTTCCCAGTCCACTTACATTTGATATTTTTAAAATACCATTGCACACTTTATGAATGTCTCACAAAAGTCCATTTTCAACTGTACCTTTTAACAAAGTATGTTAATTGATGAAGCATGTTTAAGAGCCACTAAAAGTACTAAATATGATACTTCCAGTAAGATCTTTATGAATGATAATAAAGTAATAGGTTAAACGAAATAGCAATATGTTCTTTGTTTCAAGAAAATTTACTTATTTGCTTAACATTTTTTCCCTAGAATTGAACTTCAGTGAAGTTAAATTCCTTCTGGGAAAAATGTATAAAAAGAGAGATTTTCATATTAGGCAAATATTTCAAGGAATTTAAACACTTTCTTACCTTTATATTTTCATTTTTTTAGAAGTAAGGAACCATTTTTAGTTTTTGTTCTAGTGTATACATTACTTTTATTTAAATTAGTGGAAACTTTTAACCAAAACTTCTGTTTATTTAAAACATGGCTGTGACAGTAGACTTCTAAAATGTTCATTTCCACCACTGTTTTGTATAATTATATGTAAAAACTTTTAAAGAATTCTTAGGCAATATTTATGAGTAGCTTACAGTTTCTGTGATATGTTAATATCTGGATAGGTTATTTACTTATTGTTTTAATACTATTTAATTTGCCAATTCTTTTTGTTTTTATAGTTCTCTTCCAGGTGACATATTTGGTAATGAGATTTTTTTGGAAACATAATAGTGGCTTTAAGTAGAACCTATTTTAAATTAATTGACTATAAGTTGTAATCTCTACAATTGAAAAATCAGTTATTTTTTTTATTATTTGTATGTATTTTCATTGCTAGGGATGCTTGGAGTTCTTTGGGTGATATGACCAAGGAAGAAGCCATGATTGCATATGTTGAAGAAATGAAAAAGGTAGGGAAAATAATTTGTAGTTGAAAATAACAATATTCAGAGCAGCTCTAATTTACTTTTTTTTCCTTTGAGAGAGAGAGAGAGAGAGAGAATTTTTTAATATTTATTTTTCAGTTTTCGGTGGACACAAATCTTTATTTATTTATTTATTTATTATGTGGTGCTGAGGATTGAACCCAGCGCCGTGCGCATGCCAGGCGAGCACGCTACTGCTTGAACCACATCCCCAGCCCCTCTAATTTACTTTTTTTTTTTTAAAGAGAGAGTGAGAGAGGAGAGAGAGAATTTTTAATATTTATTTTTTAGTTCTCAGCGGACACAGCATCTTTGTTGGTATGTGGTGCTGAGGATCGAACCCGGGCTGCACGCATGCCAGGCGAGCGCGCTACCAC